GTGAAGAAGAAAGCAGGAGATGTGACAGAGAACGAGGGTTAGTCTATCCTATGAGTGATTAGAGAAGACTGATCTGAAGAGTGGGGCATTTGAACAAAGACTCAAAGGAAGGAAGGGGGTGAGCTGTACAGGGAGTGGAAGCTTTCAGGCAAAGGAAATGGCAAATATCAAGGCCCTGAAGTCCGAGTGCATTCAGTATGTTTGAGGAAAAGCAAACAAGGGGGTAATCAATGTCCCCTTTCTCCATGGTCACCGTCTAGCAGCCCTCCTCCAATCAGGCCAGGCACCATCTTAAGTGTTTTTCAGAACATTATCTCATTTGATCTTTAAAACAACCCTCTGATGTGGTATTATTATCACCCGTATTTCACAGATATGGAAACAGAGGCTTTTGGAGCTTGTAAGTGACTTGCCCAAGGTATCAGAGACCCACGGTTAGCTGTCAGACACATGCCGTTCCCATCCCGTTTCCCATTCCATCTTCCCACAGGCAGCACCAGCACTGTCGCCCAGCCACAGACCAACAGATCGAAGCAACAACTGTACCCGATCCAAGTTGCACAGGTGCAAGAGGCTCCGCTGGGCCTGCTTTCTTTTCTACCCTCTTTTTTGAATCATGTTCTTGCTGAATTTCTCTACTTCCTACACCTCCTCATTATATAAGCCTCCTAAGATCACCTCCAAAACAAACAGCCAAGCTATGGAAGATTGACGGATAGGAGAGAAGAAAGGAGAAAGGAAACGAGTATTTGCAAAACTTCTGTGAACCAAGCGCTGATGAAACAAGCACTCCGGTGGAACTTCTTTCTGGCAGATGGTGGTTAATGAGAATATTAAGGTAGAAAAACACAGCATTTGCCATGTGGACTTGTGCATTCCACAAGCAGGAATTGCTATTGCTTGAGGAGTCTCCACAGCTAACATAATTTAAATTTAAGAGACAGCACATTTTCACTGTGTTCCTCAAGATCCATCATCAGCCAATGTTCTCAGCCAAGACATACAGCAACTTCCTAATCTTTCCGGCCTCACAGCGTGTTCTCTGCTGCCTTCCACCGGCCTGCTCTGTCTCTTTTAAGAGTTTACATCAGCCTTTAATGCTTTCCTCAAGGGGTGAGATGGCCTTTCAACTTTATTTAGGGTTTCGACTTTATGCAGAGCACAACTGATGAGTCCTCCAGCAGCCACCCACCCACATCCACGCTCAGTTCCTCCCACAGGCCTAGCAGCTCTCAGGCAGTGATGCCTCTTGGTGACTTCTCACTACCTCCCAATATTTCTAAGACAAGGATATGGATTAATTCCCCGATAGCCCTAAACATAATACTACTAAGAAACCTAAAAATCATTCGCGACAAACTTCAACAGCAGCATGTCTTGGAGAGCGAGGAGTGTTCCTCAATAAATGTCACCTACAAAAAAGCAGGATGAAAAAAAAGTGATGGAAAATAACATCCTGCTTGGCAGAAAAAACAATGTACAAAAATGCTCAGCTGATTCTTCTGTTTTAGCATTTGCCATGGGAAAACATCATCCCATTCTTCCTTAATGGGTCGCTGCCCACTCTGAACCCTGATGTCTTATGTGTGGCCCCCAACACTGAGCAAAAGGGTTGACATACTTAATACCTGGTATACGTGTCATATGAATAAGCATCTACTTATACTTGATGTTATTATTAGATGACAGCTACCCCAGGCCGTTAAGACATGTGCTGTTGAGGGGGAGTGAACAGACGACTGGAATAAAGTCGAAATGCCTCTACATATGTGAAAAGAGAGGAGGGCGGGCTATTTCCAAAAATTCCTTGGAGCAGGGTCAAGAAGGGGCCCAGTCATTCTCTACTACCTATTTCTACCCCTTTGTGATTGAGGCAAACCAGTGTTACTCATCTCCTCTTTTTCTCCCAAGAATTCCTTCCCCAGGGGATACAGAGGTCAAGGAAATGATACGAGAATGACTGCTGCCCCCACAACTGAAGAAAAATGCACCTAAACAACTGGGTGTCCTCTGAGGAAGGAAGCATAACATAATTTTACACTTTATGTTACATAAATGATATTTCACTGAAAATGAGAACTATGTGCCATTTCCCCATTTTCACAATGAATGAGAATACAGGAAAAAGCAGGAAATTCAACTCTCAAAAATTACTTTAGAAAACTTAGGAATGACTGTTACATAAATCACACAAACGCATTTAAGTCATGGCCCTTTTTGCACGATAACAAAGCACTCCTCATCACAGTAACCAATTAAGCAAAAAAAAAAAAAAAAAAAAAAGATCTATAGGAAAATGGCAATGAAGGTATCATTAATTTAAGACTTCAATAACTGCTCTAAAAGAGGGAAGTAATCAACCAAAAACCTTTTAAGGTTTCTTACAATTCAGTCTAATGTAGTCACAGTATCTCATAACAAAAATTTAATCAGCATTGGTACTTAAGTTAGAAATAAAATGTCAAAGAAATAAGATGAAAGGGATTTATGAACAGCCTAAAAGTATGGTGTGATTCATGGTACAAAAGTCCTGGCAGTAGCTAAGTGTTCAGCACAATCAAGGTCTGAGAAATTAGACCCACGTCAGAGCATTTTCAACAAGGACGAGGGCATCGTGGCCACCTACGCTGGCCTCCGGTAAACATGTTCGGAACACAGAATCCATTCTTCACCCTCTCCTGCTATATTCTTCTCCGCAGTAGCTAGCATCTGACATGCTGCACACTTTACTTGTTGGCTTCTTATCTCCCTTCCGCATTAGAATATAAGCTTCATGAAGGCAAAGATTTGGGTCTGTTTTGCTCCCAGATGAATCCCCAGAGGTTAGAAGAGGGGCCTGGAACATAGCAGGTGTGAAAGCCAATAGTGCCAAGTAGACTCTGTTGGGCTCTCCACCTTCTGGGCATACAGTAATATTGTACTCTCTGGCCCTTTGTGGTTGGACAGGGCCAGGTGACAAGGTCTGACCAGTGAGTGTGAGAAAAGACAGGGTGTGTCCTGTCCAGGCTAAAGTACTTAACTGTGGGTGTGAGATCCTCCAGAACACTCTTACCTACCTCTGCTTCAGTGACTGCTTGCTCCAAATGGGGGTTGCTCTGTCAGCCTAGCCCAGAGTGAGGACACTGCCAGGCAGAGCCCCAGTTAACCCACAATGGATATAAAGCACGAATAAGATTAAACCTTTGTGCTTTATGTCACTGAGGGTTAAGGGTTGTCATCACCCTTCTCAACTGATAGGGTAGGCATTCAGTAAAAATCTGTGGTTGAATTTGTCAGCTCTCCTTGCAGAGTTCATCCAGCATAAGGAGTTCCAAGGGGACCTATTTGCTCACAATGCACCGTGTTCTAATTTGGAACAACTCACATGTCCTTTCCGGTACTAAGTCAAGAACTATGTTCTTAAAGAATACAAATGGCAAGACAGGGTACAGGCAGGACTTTTTAGTTTTTTCTTTTCTAATCAGCCTCACTCTCTTCTTTTCATATCTGCCTCAAGCAGTACTGAGGAATTCTCTGATTGATCGATGTCAAGAGAGTGACTTGGAAGTTATGCTGTAAGGAGTGATCAATATTAACAAAAGAATGACTTGTCTTGTAGAGGTATCACTCAGAAGCCTCTAATGAGCCTAAAGCTCTTTCCATAAAAGCACAGGACCTCAAAGGATGAAGCAGCCTCTTCAATGTGTGCCCTAGATATGGAAAGAATCCAGAAGTAGAAGACAGAAGGGATCAAAGCACATGGAGAGATACGAAGCCAAGGAGAGACTCAGCTGCCCAGGTGTGGTGATCTCCTAATAGGCAGATAAATTCCTTGGTACTCCTTTTTTCAAGAGGTAGTATCCTCCCCTTGAGTGCAGGCTCTACTTAGTGGCTTGCTTTTGAAAAAGAACACAGCATAAATGGTGGCGTGTAATTTCTGAGGCTTGACTGTAAGAGACACTGTGGCTTCCTCTTTGCATTTTCTCTCATTGATAAGGACATCACAAGGACACTCAGCAGCCCAACGGACAGGTCCACATGGGAGGAACTGAGGCTTCCTGACAACAGCCAGCCTCTGTGTGCCAGCAACACAAAGGAACTGTTGTAGAAGTTGATCCTCCAGCCCCAGTCAAACCATCAGATGACTGCAGTCCCAGCTGCACCTTCCTGAATTATCCAGAGCCAGAACCACCCAACCAGCTCAGCTACTCCTGAATTCTAAACCCAAAAAACTGGGATAAAACTTTTTTCTAAGCTACTCAATTTGGGGGATAATTTATTACACGGGAAGAGGTAACTGCTGTATCAGATGTCCTCTAGCCTGAGTATATGCCTATGTTATACAAACGAGCTGTTCATAGTGACTTTACAGAAAGGACTATATGCTGACCCATATGACTCGGATATAACTGATGTTCAAGCAAGTACAGCATTCTTTGCTTCCTAACCCTAGGTTTTTCTACTCATCATCTGTAACTGTACAAGAGTAGTACCCTTCATTGCTACCTTGATGTTCTGAAAACAGCCTTCCATCTATCACCTTTGAAAACCAGTTTCATCTCTGTGTATCATACTATCTCTAGGCTTCACACTTCATGACTCAAACTCTTGAAGAACTACAAAAGGGCAAAGGAAAGAATAGGCCACTGTTAACAGTACCTGAATGCAGGACTGCAGAAAAACTACTTTAATCTGTATGTCCTCATACTCCACCTTTATCCAAAAAAGACTTAAAGAACTTAGTAAAATACCCCTAGTAGGAATTACTTTTCCTGACGCTGACCCTTTGTCGTCTTCAGCAGCTGAATCGTTGTTGTTACCTTTCTTCCCTTCCTCAGAACTTGCATTTCATTCTCTGGGTAATTTGTTATTCTATTAAACAGTAATTCAGTGACTGATCCAGAGCAAACCTACAGCTCCAGTTGTGTGTGTGTGTCAGCAGGCTAAGAGGCACATATTAGGCAAGGCACACACATACAAGGACCAAAAAACAAAAAAATCCCTCACTACATGGTTGCCAAAGTATTCTCCTTCTCCTGGCATTCTGCATCTTTTGCTTCTTTCTTAGTTGGAGTATAAATGGTAGCAGGGAGATGATCATTAAGCAGCCCAAGGTTTGGTTTAACTTCTGTAACAATGTTTATTAATAAGGATGGAAAGGAAGGAGCAATAGTACGCGGGTGAGGTAAGATTAAAACAAACAAGATGGTGCTAGGGTCTGCCATGGAGCTGGCTTTGAAACAAGATACAGTATCTGAAAACAAGTGATAGAAATGGGAAAAATAACTTCTCCAGATCCCCCCAATCCCACAGCTATTTTCTCTAAGATTAAATGTTCCATATCACCCTATCTTGTAGCAATAATGGAAACCTAACATCAGAAGCATGAAAAAATAAAGGTTTTCATAGATTCCTTCCGCTTAAAAAGAAAGGCGGTATGTCACCTGTGAAAGAAATGGCTTCCCATTCCATTTCAAAAGCATTTCTCAAGTAATTACTCTATGTTATAACATTACACTAGGAATGGGAGTGGGGGTACAGTGATGAACATAGCCCCTGCAATCAAGAATCTCTCAACCTAACCAGTGACTTTTAACCTTTAAGAGTCACAGATCTCTTTGTAAGTCCTACGCTTCTCTCCAAATCAACACATATACAGATAAAAACAAAATTTTGCTAACAAATTTAGATTATCCATAAATTGTCAAAGTGTATGGATCCTAGAATAAGTATATCTTGCTCTACCAGAAGAAAAAAAATACAAGATTTTATTTAATAAGCAAGTATCACATAATATGTAACATTAGCTATTAGCCTAGCCTCTTTTCCAAGTCACTGAAAACACTACCTTCCATCTTATTGTATACCAAATATCACCGGGGACAAAATACATATGTTCATGTATAAGTGACATTTATATAAAATTAACATTTGCTAGTATTTCTGACATCACTTTTTACAAACAATAGTAATTGAACTAAAATGAAATCTGCATGAAACCTAAATTTGTGAGATCTACATTTTTAACCTCATTTTTATACTAAGTATAATTATTTTGCATGATTAATTCTGAATACAAAACATTTTCTGTAGTTCCAAGATAGCAAGCTGAGCACTTCTCATTAGTTTCAATGGTTTAAATAATTTGGGGCTATAATACTGGTGGAAAAAAAGATTCACTTGAATGTTCCTTTTTTAAAAAAAAAGCTTAGTTTCTCTACATAAACTGCATTTACGCTGTCAGAAAGAATAACGGAATGATGAGTGAATTAGGCAGCAAGAATTTTCAAGATATAAAAATAAAATCACCTCTCATAGTTTCTGCAGTGTCTTCCAAGACAGGCTCTTGGATACAGGGCAGAGGATATTCTTAAGGGCGGAGCATGGAATGCTAACAGGTGTCTAATGGAAGAATTAAGGAATAACTAGAACAAATACAAAGAATGACATTGCAAGGGGTGGGGAGAGTCAGGACAGCTAGAAACCAGGAGAGAAAGAACACAAATTGATGTGTTTTCAAGTTTGCAACACTGTGCTGTCCAATACAGTAGCCACTAACCACATGTGGCTATTTAGATTTAATTTGAACTAAAAATTCAGTTCCTCAGTTGCACTAACCTATTTTCAGAGCTCAAAAGCCACATGTGGCTAATGGCTACCATAATGGTCACTGTAGAATACAGAACATTTCCATCATCTCAGAAAGCTCTATTGGACAGCACTGTTTTATAAAATGAGAGGCCAGAAAACATTAAGAGGTTACTTAGTCTTGAACAGAAAGTACACAGATTCAGAGATACATCATTTTCAGCTAAGTTCTTCTATTTACAAAGGAATGAAAATTGCTGCATGTGAGGTAGAAAATAGTTAAGAATTTTCAGTGCAATGGATAAATGGCCCGCATTACACAATATAGCCTATGATACCCTGGACTCCATCTGAGATTCAAGTTCAGGAACTACCAAACCAGTGGAAGTTCTGTGGATCATTCTTCCTTGCCAGCCAATAACAGCATGTACCAAGTTACTAATAGCTACATATACCTTGCACAGAAAGTTCTAAATAGTAAGACATGTTTTAGCCTTCAGGAATTCAGTAAGGAAGGGAGGAATGGTAGAACACACAGAGTGAGAGAGGGAATATAGATGACACTTATTTGTATTTTTAGCTCACATATGTTTCCATAGCCACATATCAAAGTCGTGCTGTAATCACAAGCATCTGAGGGAAACATATAACATTATTGCTATGACATATAATCCTTATTTTCATTCAAATATTATCTTTTCCAGAGACTCATTTCATTACATGCCTCCAATTCCTTTTGGCTCATGACTGGAGATTAGGTCTATTCAAAAAGAGGATCTTTCTGGAAAACTTCTGATAAGGTTTAGCTGTGTTTCCACCCAAATCTCATCTTGAACTGTAGTTCCCATAATCCCCATGTGTCATGGGAGGGACCAGGTTGGAGATAACTGAATCATGGGGGTTGTTTCCTTCATCCTATTCTCGTGATAGTGAATTAGTTCTCACAAGATCTGATGGTTTTATGAGGGGCTTCTCCCTTTGCTGGGCACTCATTCTTCTCCTTGCTGCCACCAAGTGAGGAAGGATGTGTTTGCTTCCCCTTCTTCCATGATTGTAAGTTTCCTGAGGACTCCCCAGCCATGCGGAACTGTGAGTCAATTAAACCTCTTTCCTTTATAAATTATCCAGTCTCAGGCAGTTCCTCATAGTAGCGTGTGAATAGATGAACACAGCCTCAATTCTCCACTTGAAAAATTAAGGAATGGGTGCATCCTCTAAGTTTATTTCTCTTTTGGATCTCTAAGATCTATTACCTAACCTGGTGCCCAGAATTCTCTAAAAGCCTCCCGAAGTCTGCAATCTAATTGGGGAGTTTTAGAAGCCTCACACAGTAACTATGAGAGAATTACAAAATATGTAGATACATACAAGGTCACAGAGTAATAACTTTTCATTAAAAATGCAAAAGTGACATAGTACAGAAGGAGAAAAGCAAAGTTTGATCCATAAAATTGTTTAAAATTTGGTAAAAACGGTGACAGAAAAGCTTGCATGGCAAGGCTATGTATAGCCTATTATCTTGTCACAAAAGGGTTTATGAAGGAAGTAAGCTTTTGGTTAAATATTGAAGAAACTAATGGTTTTGTACTACTATACGTCAGTAACTTTCAAAATTATTTAACTACAAACCATACTAAGACATTTTAGATTATTATGCAGTAGGCATATACCACTAAGTAAGCATTCCACAAAGCAATAATTTAGCCATATTACAATGTACATTTTCTGATATCTTCGATTATAATTTCACTTTAAAAATACACAAGTCATGACCCATTAAGCCAATTTTATAACCCACTCATGGGTTCCAACCCACAGAATGAAAGATATCTATAAGATGAATTTCTATGGTAGGAATTGGTAAATGACCTATCTGAAGAAAGGAAACCATATTTGTAAAATAGGATTAGAAAACTGTGTGCTCATGTGTGTGGTGGGGGAGAGAGGCAGGGGAAACGGGAAAAGTTAGAGGGAGAGGGAGAGGAATGGTCAGAGGAAGAGAGAGAAGAACATTTGGAGGGAGGAGGCAGGGAGACAGAGGGAGGACAATTGGAGGGGGTGTTTAGTGAAAAGTCTTATATGTCAATGTCCGTATTTGACAGGCAAAAGGAACCCATTTTTCTTGAAAGCAAAGGTTGGGACAGATTTGCCTGGTAGCGCTGGAGAATATGGCTTTGGAATGAGATTTGGAAGGCCAGCCATGGAGTCTGAAGCATAAAAAACAAACTCGATGAAGGAAGGCCTGGATTATGACGGTGAGAAAAAGTAGCGGGGTACAGGTAGAGAACAGCAAGACTTTCAAATTGGAACAGAAAAAATAATTCTCACATCTTCCAAAGCAAGCAGAGCCTTAGAGACTGAATGGCAAAATACTAAGAAGAAAGCTAAAGGAAAGAGGCAGCTGGGAAAGAGACAGAAGCAAGTTGATCAGCCCACTCCACAAACCACACGGGTCCCATCCAACCTTCTTTCCCTCATGAGCTAGAATACACCAAGGCCCAAGTGGAAAAAGGGACAATCTCTGTCCCCAGTTCCCAACACAACTAGATGCTGAGCATCTGCAGATGGAGTATGCATCTGTTCAGTTTTTCATTCAAAGAACAAATGTTGACTACATACATAGCACAGGCATCAGATGTATAAGGTTCACAAAGCATTGTCCTTGCCCTTAAGAAACCACAGTTAGAAGCCAACTTCCTAAGCAAATAACTAGAGACAAAGTGATCAGTGCTAGGAGAGAGGTGTGTCCAAAGTGCTAGAACACAGAAGATGCAGTGAGTGGTTCTGTCTGGGTCAGCAAAAGCTTCCAGGAAGAAGAGGCAATGTTAAGAAAAGCTTCTCTATCAGAGGCAACAGTATAGGCAAAGTGTGGAAGCCTTAGAAGTGGAAATATGCAGAAGAAATGATGAATGGAGTCAGAAAATGGGGCTTGGGGGAAAGATGGAGAAGGTGGGAGAAAGGGCAGTCGGAGGGACCATCTGCCAGAAGAGGAAGCTGGGACTAGTTTGTGAACTTGTCTTCCAAACAGTGCTGACAGTGGTGAAGAAAGGAAACCATATTTGCAAAAATAGGATTAGAAAACTGTGTGTGCATGTGTGTGGCTGGGGAAAGGGGGAGGGAAAACAGGGAAAATGTTAGCGGGAGAGGGAAAGGAATGGTCAGAGAAAGAGAGCCCATAGGAAACCAGATATTATAAAGCTAAGAAATAGTACAATTAGGCACATGCTTTAGAAAGACCACACAAGCAGTGGTCTAGAAAGTGAACCGGATAGAGGAGATGAGACAGGAAAAGAGGCCAGTGAGGAAGCTGTTGAGAAGGGCCTGCATGGGACTGGTATCGCAGGAAGGGAAAACAGTTGCGTAGACACTTGGAAAATAAAATGAGCAGTCTTTCTGCCTACCTGAAGGGAAGGTGAACGAGGACAGAGACACAGATCTCCATGGGGTTCTTATTTGCAGGGAGTAAGGGTAGCTTGGCCTTGAGGAGGAAAGGTAGGAAATTTGTTCTTATACATGTTGAATTCAGGTTGCCTCTGGGACGCCCTAATGGATTTATCAAGAAAGTAGGTGAAAATTCAGCTGAGAGGCGCAGGAGAAAAATCAAGCAGAAGCAATCAATTTGGGAGTTGCAATGTAGAAACCACTAGAGAAATGAGAGCAGAGACAAAGGTGAGACCAACCATATTTAAGGAGGGAGGACAGCTAGAAGACTACAAGCCAGAAAAAAAGACTGCCTTTTCTTAACAAAAAAATAATAAAGTTGAAAGAGAAACAGGACAAAGTGGTTTTCAAAAACAAGATTAAATGCCATAGGGAAGCTTAATAGAATGATGAACACTTTTTTTTTTCTTTTTCTGTTTTAGAAATAAGCAGATATTACCTAACCAAGCAATAGCATAGCTGAAGGCTGGTAAAGAGAGAAAAATTAATAGGTTGCCATCTCATTGGATGCTCTTGAACCTGGAATCAGGCAAGCTCCCAAGAAAGGTGATGTAATTAAACTATCATGACACATTAACTGAAACACCTTATTCTATATGCAAATATCTGACAGATATGCCCCAGTGTCTCTGCAGATAACAGATGTTCTGATCTTTGGATATTGCTAAGCTGTACCCAATGTTACTTTATCATAAAGCATGTCATGATTAAACTGAAGTGTTATTATGTAATTGTGTATCCCTGTGGGAGCTCCAAAATGCCTCTAAACAATTTACTCACCCATGGCCCATTTAAGTTTTTTCATAAACAAAAGCCAAAATAATTTTCAGAGATGGGCTAATGCTTATTTTATATAGTATGCATAACTAGGTTAAACTGTTAAAGACATACTTGATTAAAGTTTCAATACCTACTTAGATAGGATGTAATATCTATTTCTATTACCAATATCTAAATAACGTTAAAAGCCAACTATCCCATTCTAGTCCCAGTTTCTCATTTTCCAACATTTGTGAAAAGTACTCTTTTCCCTTTTTTGGGGGGAGGGGGATGGTATATGTGGATCCATAAAGCAAAATGGCATGTTGTCAACCAACATTTTCTTTTGTGATAATTGAATTAAGTAGAGGGAAAAAAAAACATAGTAGGTAGGCATAAGGTGTATGTATAGTGACATGATGACCTGCTTCCAAAATCTACATTTTCCTTAAAAACTGAAAGATATTTGTAATTTAAGCTATCCTGATCTTAACTGATAAATTTGAAGAAAATGTTCTACCTTAACTACTGCTCAGAATCCCTTTAAATTACCAGTGATCGGCAATCCGTCATCAGCAAATATGCTTATGTCAAATGCCCTTATAATAAGCTATCACATTTTCAAACATTTTCCTCCATTACCTGACCAGGAGATTTACACAATGTGAACAACCTACCGAGAACAGAGTTAATGAAATATTGGCTCTTGGTTTAAATGAGTAAATCCCATCCTGAACAGTAGAGGGGGGAGAAATGTATAAATTGAGAAAAGAATTACCTATTCATCTTCATCAATAGTTGACACCATCATCATTTGGCCTCTAAAAAAAAAGAGGATGTTTTAATTTGCTGGGAAGAATACATCACTTCAGGGAGGAGATTTGGGGATTTCACCATGAATAATAATGAAGTGAGCAGAGTTTTCTTCATGTGTAAAATCTAGCTCTAGTCTTTCAATCCAAATGAGATTCTAAGTTGCAGACAGAGGTCAGAGGATTCGATTTATTTATTCAAGCCCATGTAGGCATCCTTCATCCACATCAACCAGATCTATACTTCCTCTTTCTCAAATTAACATTAAGACAAAATTAAAAAAAATAAAATATTTCCGTTCATATTGGCCAGCTTGTAGCAACAATCCTGGGTTCAAAGAACAACCACTGTTCACTAGGCTGCTCCCTGACAGTCCTCTCGTCATTACCCCACCGCTTTGGTAAACGCAAAACATTCTCTTGTTGTCCGCGGCCTGCAATAAATCATTCAGGCTCATGCCAAAGCTCGAAACTCAGCATTTATTAATTTTAAATAAGTTCTGATACCTATTATCAGTTACGGACAATGACAATATGTCTCTAAGCCCATTATTTCTCCTATGCCCCTCAGAAAGCTGAGAGAAAGCAACAATATGTCTAACCTTTTGTCCCTTCCTAATCACGATGGCTGCCCATAGAGTGGGAAAAAATTAAGAGGGTCCCAGAACATTATGCAAGTCAGGTAGACAGAAAGAGAATCCCAGTAAAGCAGACTTAGAATAAGAGGCCCTCAATATGCAGCAATTGATGTGATGTATAAATCAATAGAGAATGATTAAAACACTGCTCTATGAAGGGCCTGCATAGTTAATATACATTTCATTATGAAACAAGAATGCTGTAGTCAGACCAAATGTGTAGGCACACTGCTTAACAGATGCAAAACAAGTACCAAGCTGTTTAAATGTATAGAATTTCAAGGAATAAAGCTAATCAACAGCATCATCTCTCTAACAAAGCCTGTTGAGATATTTCACTTGTAATGTAAATGTTCATATTAACACATGTATCCCCAATACCTGATTTCTAATGTGCTCCATCATTTAACAGATCTCCCCTTTCAAAGCCTAACATTAATAAAAGCTGTACTATTCTTACTCAAATCACAGCACAAAATTCATACCTAAATATTCGTAATTGCATAATCATTGCACTCACTGAAATAAAACACACCCTTATCCTTTCTTTCAAATGGGTCAAGTAAGTGCGGTTCTACTTCTTTCCCTTTTCTAAAATGCAAATTTAAGAGCTAAATATTATGTGGTTTTGCTTCAATTAACTTCCCTAAGAATACAGTATTGTGTTTACAAAACAAAGAAAAACTATCAAAAAGCTGATGGTACCCAATCAACCCATGAATCAAAGAGTTTCAACAATCTTTTCTCCCTTCTCCCCTCAGTGTAAGCCTCTATCCTCCCCATGGAATGCAAACAGAAGGGACAGGCTTTTGGTGTTAATTTCCTTATAAACTTATACTTACCACACACTGGTATAAAGAAAGCCATCACGACTTCTCTTAAGGAGCTTTTTGCCATGTCCTTCCAAAGGAAAATAACATTCCTTCATCTTGTTTTCCACATTTGACTTAAAGAGAACATAAAAACTGGTCCCAATAAAATTCTTCCAACGAAGGTGTCCTTTGTTACCTATTTCCATAGACTTCTACTTAAGATATGAGCTAAACTCTAACTTGCACTAGTCAAAAGAAATGAATCCCTTAGTCATGACATTTCCATCATTCAAATAAATCTGTTTAAATTTTTAAGTTTAGTCATTTGACATGCACTGCAGACCTATGACGCAAAGGACTATAGCAAAAATAAATTACAATGTTCAATATTATATATAATTATATGTCATTCACGTGCATAAAGCCAGCACTGCTGAACTGCTTTGTTCACCCTAAGCAAATTCAAAACGGAGGCCCTTAAGAAGCTACCTATGGAACCATCTCAACTTGGATGTATTTTAGTATCCTTCTTCTTGAATTCAAATGCATTTGATTTACCATGGAAATTTCTATACTCTGTTAAAAATTTCAGCACACATCAACAGAAGAACTTTAATTTTAGCTCATTCTATATATGAAAGTGAGAAAGGCTCCACATCTTTCCTAGTGCAAATTAAAATGAGCAAAGTAGGCCAATGTCCATAATATTTTAGTTACAGGAAGAAAATAACAGTAGCCATTTATTTTAAATGTTTCCTGTGCCTCAGACACTGTACTTTCTACATGTCATCTCATTTAATCCTCATGAAACAATCAAACTGAGTATTATCGCCTGTTTTAGAGCTTAACAACCTCAGTTATTTGATCAGAGAAAACCAACAATGGTTTTCAACATGGACGCAACACAGAGTCCCAGAAGCAAACACCACAGCTGCAGGGGGCTTCCCACTGCAACATTATAAAGAGTGATCCAAATGAGTCACAAGGAGTTGGCAGTGACCCATGACCATAGGCAACACCAAGGAGTCACTAGTTTTGGATAAGGGAGCTGTGGACTCATGACCTCTGAGGCCCTTCCAGCACCCAAAACTCTACCAACTCTGTTTTCTAATGAGAACAGGTACTCTGGCAGCAAAGGGAGTAGAAAAACATGATAGCCCTCTCCCCTCCCTCCAAAAAAATCCACATAAATGACATCTGCAGCACAACTAACCATCCTCTTGGCAGAGGCACCATGACATATTCTTGTGGGCAGCTCTTTAACTGTTCCATGACGTGGCCATCAGTTGGCTTACTAAGTGGTCAGCACAACTTTGCCTCAAATGTTTCTATAGTGCACTAACCTTAAAAACAGTACTTCTTACTGCCCTCCTCCTCTCTCCCCACCACTGAGTGAAAGGCATCTGGATACACTGGACCACAAAGAAACCCAAGGAGGAAGAAATATCCTGTCCATTGCAGGATAACCTGAGAGATGCCTGTGTGGGTGACTTTCGGACCGTGGGTCTTGACCCATTAGTGGAAACAATGCAGTGAGTCAATGCTAGCATTTTACAGAAATTGAAATAGAATGGAAGAGAAAATATCAGAGTATGCCACAGAAAGATAAAACATTCTTGTTTCAGCAACGTATTCTATGATCAGTTAGTTATGTGTGTTGGTAGCATGTGTACCAGGTTGTGATATAAGTGTATTTCTTATTGTAAGTTAAAAATATACTTGACTCTTCTTCATCTTCATCCCTTACAAGCAACCACTAAGTTCTGCTGACTTTACTTCCTAAATCTATCCTGGCCACTATGCCCCACTCCCTGTGTATACCATTTCCTAACTAAGGTAAGTATCTCTCACCAGAACCACTGGAACAGTCTCCAAACCCTTCTCCACTATATTGCGTGGTCCCCTTAAATCAGTCTCCACCCCTTTGCCAAATGGTCTATTTCAACAGTCCCTAACCTTTTTGGCACCAGGGACCAGTTTCATGGAAGATAATTTTTCCATGGACTGTAAGTGGGGACAAGATTATATTCTCATAAGGAGCATACAACCTAGATCCCTCATATGCATAGTTCATTTTAAGGTTCATGCTCCTATGACAATCTAATGCTGCTGATATGACAGGAGGCAGAGCTCAGGCGGTAATGCTCGCTTGCCCGTCACTCACCTCCTGCTATACCACCTAGTTCCTAAGAGGCCATGGACCAGTAAGAACCTTAGATTAGGGGGTGGGGACCCCTGATCTATTTGAAATGCAGATCTGACTCTGTCAGTCCCCGACTTAAAAGCCTTCCATGTCTACAAAATCAAATCAAAGCTCCCTTAGCATGGTGTACCAGGTACTCCATAAACTGATCCCAAGCACCTTCCAAATTCAACTGCAACTCCAGTCTCAGTAACTGCTCAGTGGGAACATCCGAGCAGCTATCTTGTCATCTCCTTGCCTCTGTGCTCTTGCTCTTCCTTTGAGATTCCACCCAGGAGTCTTTTCCTCTAATGAGGCCTGCTGGGACCTTGGAATGTAGTTAAGTGAATCTACTCTGGGCTCCAGCAGCATACTCTATTTCTACATCTGTCTGCTCTCTTGCCCCCATGAATATTAGATTACCTATATGCCTGCCACTTCCACTAGGCAAGAAGGATTTTACCTACTTCCTCTGAGTCTTAAACATCACTTCAGTAAGACCCTCCCTCCCTTCCCTGACCACCTTATCTAAATTTTCAACCTATCATTGCCTTCCCACCACTTTCCTAGCTCCCTCCACTGGTTTCCCTTTTTGTTCCTTATTACTTACTATGACCTAACTTACATGTAGACACACAGACACACACACACACACACACACACACACACACATATACACGCAATGTTTATACATGTATACAGATTTTAACTTATTATCTAGTTTGTGTGTATCTCCACAACCAGGAATGCCAGCTCAATTATTTGTCTGTTTTATTACTGTTACATAAGAGGCACTCAAAAAAGACTTGCTTAATGAATAAATGAGTGAATATCATCAACATCAGAGGTTATACCTATTGCAAGTTTGAATACCTGGCACCTATCATAGTGCCTGCCTCCTGCAGAGTTGGTACATAATAAATAAATATTTGCATTTTAAAAAGTGAAAATAGAAACTCACATATGATGCATTCTTTTTGCCTCATATTCTTTCTCATTCAATAGACACAGGATAGAAAGAAATATAAGGCTAGACAGATCAGCTAGGTGACCAAAAGAAAGCAGAAATGTCACAATATCACCATACCTGCAGTACGGGCAGGTCACCCAAAAAGGTTTCAGAAGGTGAAGAAGTGTCTTTTGAAAGTGAACACTATTTTGAAAAGACATTTCTTTTTTGGCACGAAGGTACAAAAGACAGGGCTTTTAGTATTCATATTTTGAGCATTCATATTTGCTGATAATAGAACCATTAAAGCTCAGAAGGCAACTGAAGCAAGTGAACCATCAGGCACCTTACTCTTTGGGGGAAGGAGGCTTTTATTTGACAAGAAGTCACAGGCACATCCAAAATTTACAATCATTTTAAAAATCAAAAATGCAAGAAGGATAAAATATGTATATGTTCTTGAAGTTTAAAACTAAATTTCACATGTATTAAGTAATTTTTATTAAAACGCAAATTTGTAAATACAAAAGCATAAAGCCATCTTTTAAGGTTTCTTTCTGAGCAAATAAAAAATATAGATGTTTTGAATTTTTTTAAAAAAAAGTATACAGTATCACTTTGTCCTTAAGATATCAATTGAACGAAATTGGCAGAAATTTAAAAATTAAAAAAGAAAAATCATATGACCAGAAACACCACTATTTCTTTAAAATAACATCCTATTTCATTAAGAACAAGAAAGAATTAGCTGAAAAATAAGGAAATAATAATTTTAAGTGTTTTCAAAAAGAAAAGAACTTTCAAAGAGAAACAAAGGGATGGCTGTGGCCTACAGAGGGAGACTAATATTTGAATCCATCAACTAGTAAGATTCTTTAAGCCAAAATTATCGACCATTTAAGATACATTCAGTGCTGTATAACGTTTCCACCAACCACAGACCACATATATTATAATTATCTATTATAAAAGATTATAATACTATATTTTTGCTGTACCTTTTCTATGTTTGGATACATTTAGATATAAAAATGCTTATGATTACGCTACAACTGCTTACAGTATTCAGTACAGTAACATGCTGCACAGGTTTGTAGCCCAGTAGCAATAGGCTATACCAAATAGCCTAGGTATGTAGTAGGCAACACCATCTAAGTTTGTAGAAGTAGACTCTATGATGTTTGGGAAATGACAAAATTGCTTAATCACATGTTTCTCAGAATGTATCCCCAACCATGAGTGACACATGACCATAACACTACTTGAAAAGGTATTACATTTCATAATACATAAATACACTCTCCTGTTACCAAGCTAAGACAAGAATAACCCAAATCCAAATCTATAACTCATCACAAGTGGCCAGAATCCCACCTGGATAATTTATTGTGTTGGAGTTGTGCTTGCTCTGTGACAACCTAGTTAACCAGGGTTGACAGGTCAATGCACAAAACCATGCCCTGTATTCCTCTGTGCTCCACATCTTATGAGTGTAGTTTTAAATCAACAACTTACAACTAAAATATCATGAGTCAAATGTTGTTATAACTGTTGTAAAAGGAAAGAGAACAGAGTGAACCGAGCTCTTTCCTCTGCTAGGAAGAAAATTAATACCTTGCTTGGTAAAGCGGGCCAACATGCAATCAGCATGTTTGCTTAGAAATAAAATGAGAATAATTCTGCTATGAGTGACAATTTTATAGTTTACATTCTTGAGTCAAACTTTTAAAATATCCCCCTTGTTTCCCTTCAACTCCCCATCCCCAGAAATATCCTGGCCATGTAATCGGCAAAGAAGGGTAGGGGCATACGGGAGGTAGTCCAGCAACTGCTTAGGAGAGAATCTGCCTGAGTAAGTTTCATCATCACCAAATGTTCTTCCTACAAATGAGACTCAGACAAACTAAGAAGTCATAACCTATAATGTTTTAATAAAAATGTAATTTTAAGTAATTTGGTTTTTCCTCTTAAATGATCTGGTTAAGTGAAAAAAATTTTATTTAAGAATCTCTGACTAAAACGTAAAAAGAAAACAATCCACTTAAGATTATTCCTTGAAAAAGCACCTCCAAAGATTCTTATTTTCATGGATTTATAAAGCCACAGTGAAAGCTCAAATCTTTCATAAGGGAACAAGCACTTTCCCTTAATATATCAAATTCTTTATATCTCAATACGTGATTAAAAATAATTAGCATCTTTCTTATCAATAAAGATGTCATTGTTAAAAAATTCCAGAAGAAGCCTTCCAAAAGGGCAAAGTCAACAGTTTCACAGCTAAACCTTCTTTCAGCAATTGTAGTCTATACCAGTGCCACTTCTATAGCAGTGGAACAAACTTAGTTCTAGGCAATTTCTCATGATGTTTAATAAATCGGGCTTAATATGAGAGCAAGACTCTAGAATCTAAAATAGATCCCATTGTGTTTAGGAAGAATTATTTCAATGACCGACAGAAAGAAGAACCTTTTAGGATTTAGAAATGGTCAACTAACTTTCTGGACAAGGGCTTCCAATAACTTATACCTTAACAGATTCCTGATTTAAAATAGTATCTGTCTAAGTTCCTATTGCTGCTTCTCTGGATTTCTCACTAAAGTGCCACTGGAGACTTAGAAAGGAGTGATTATTCATATTACCTCCAAAACCTAATGCTGCTGAAGATACAAATTACTATCAAAATCTGTAAAGTACCCACTATGATTTAAAGGCAGAAATATATCCACGCTTCTGTTCATAGCACCCTCACTGCACTCCATTAATAGATTTTATTTAAAATGGTGGGAAGCTGCTTCATAATTCCACCACTTCCATTACTCAGACATATTTCTTTTCAACTGAATATCTGGCAGGTATCCTTAGACTCTGTCTCGGAAGTAAGGAGGGCATAGCTCCCCAGACACCTCTCCCTCACTATGCAGCTGATTGCCTCCCTAACCAGTCCTCTCTCTCCACTCAAAAATACATTACAAATCCCAGAAAACTAGTTGGAAACTAAGTACAACGAGGATGCTGGATATAAAATTTTATGAGCTGAAGCCAATATTTCTCGTAGCAAAATCATAGCCTTAATTCACTCGTTTATTTGACAAATATTCATTGAGTTCCTTCAGTGTTCCAGGTACTGTTCTTTGTGCTTTGAGACACATGAGTAAATGTTGCCCTGCTGCCTGCTGGAATTTACATTCTGATGAGGGAGGCAGAAAATAAGTAAATATAAGTTATATAATTTGATAATTTAAAATACTATGTTTAAAAAAAAAAACAGAACCAGGTAAATGGGTAAGGGGAAGGACTACAGTTTCAATAGGGTGGTCACTCTAAGCCCCATGGAGAAGATGACATTTGGTGAAGACTTAAAGGAGTTAAGGGAATTAGCCTCTTGGCTAATTGGGGGTGGGGCTGGGCAGAGATGGAAGCAAGGAGCCCACTTAGGAGACTGCAGTAGTACTTGCAATGAGAAATGGTTGCTTTTGGACCAGGGGAGTAGCAGTGCAGAAGGTGAGAAGTGATGAGATTCTGGATATATTTGAAGGTAAAGCAAAAAGAGTTGCCTAATAGTCTAGATATGGAGTATAAATAGTAAAGAATGATTTCAACGGAGCCTGAGCAACTATCAAGATGAAGCAGGCATTTCCTGGGTTGGAGAAGTCCAGTGGAACAGGACTAGTGGGTAGATGAGAAGTTCAGTTCAGGACACAGGTTAAGTTGGAGGTATCTACTAGGCATTCGAGTAGAGATACTGAGTAGGCAGTTAGATGTGCACATGTGGAGTTTGTGAGAGATCTCAGAGCTAGAGACATAAATTTTGGAGCTATAAGTTTATAAGTGGTAGCCATTGTACTAGATGAGATCACAAACACAGGGTAAAAATAGATCAGAGAGAACGTCTACACTCTGGGACTCTCTAACATTAAGAAGTCAAAGAGAAGAAAAAAGAGCCAGCAAAGGAGAGTGAGAAGGAGCAACCAGTTAACGTAGGAAGACAACTAACAGTTGGAGGTGTTCTGGAGGCGAAGTGAGGACCACACATTACAAGAGTGAGCACCAACTGTGTCATGCAAGATGAGGCCTGAGAACTGACCATTGTGTTTCAATGACCAGTGGAGATTGGTGATTATGACCTTGACAAGAGCAGTCTCTATGGAGCAAGGAATGAAAGCCTTATAGACTGGGTTCAAGAGAAAGTAGGGGAAGGTAAATTTGAGACAGCAAGTGTAACTCCAGAGGAATCTGACTGTACAGAAGAGCAATAAAATTGCAGGCATCTGGTGATAAAGTGAGAGCAAGAGAAGTTTAATAGAAGATGGAACGATGACAGCACACTTGTGTGTAGACATGCATGATGTGGGAGAGAAGGAAAGCCTGATGAGATAAGAGGTGCGGAGAAATGCAGGGAGTTTTCCTTAGACTAGGTGAGAGGAGACAGGATGGGGAACACCGGAAGGCACTGGCTCTAGGCAAAAGTATTAATAGTTACCTAAGACAACAAGCAGGAAGGGAGGGTAAGAGTGGCGATGCTGACAGTGGGGAAACGTGATGGGGGAATCTCTGGAGGCTCTCTTCTGCTTCCATTTTCTCACCAATGCAAACATCAAGGTCATCAGCTAAAAGCAAAAATGAAAGGACATTTTTGTTTAAAGTTCGAGGAGAGAAAAAATGAGAAAAAGTCACCTTAAAGAAGCCAAAAAGGTTAAAAAGTCACCTTAAAAATTATTAAACAATAAAAAATAATTCCACTCAACAAGCTGAAAAAAATCCTGCCAAATAAATTTCAGAGAAACAAAAGAAAGAATCATTAAAAAGATAAAAGCAGAAATTAAAGGATTAGAATATAAACAGTGGAACAGCTGGTTCTTTGAAAAGATCAATAAAATAAACCTCTTGCAAAGCTCATCAAGAAAGAGAGAAAATACAATTATACAACATAGGAAATAAGAAAATGGATACAGCCAAGAAGACAAAGGAAATTTAATACAAGTATAAAGAATAGGTACAATTTTATGCTGAAAATTAAAATACATTGGATGAAAGAGACATTCCCAAGAAAATATAAATTATCAAAATTGACTCACAAAGTAGACTCTGAAAAATTCAATAACTATATGGAAATAGACAATGCTGACAACGATTTACAGGGGAACACTACCAATTTTTTTTTAATGGAATTTTTATGCTATTGAAAATGTTACGTGGTATAGAAAAATCAAGCAAAGTTTCCCATTTCAGTTTTTACAGAAGTCAGCATAACCTTGATATGAAAACTTCAAAAAAATCACAAGAAATATAATGTGACCATATTGTTAAATGTCAACATTTGCATTAACCTCAGAAACACATAAATGCTTAATCAGCATTAGCTGCTATATTAATAGTATTACTATTATTACATTTGAACAAGAATACCTGTTCCTATCACTGATACTTAACTCTCTATAAAGATAACTCTTCCCTCTCCTGAAAGGAGATAATGGTACAATGACTATGACAACTGCTTGAAAATTCTCAAGCATAAATTCAGGCAAAGTACAAATACTTTAAGGAAAAAAAGTCTGGTTTAATTGCGTTTTGTTTCAACAATGTAGTAGATCTTAGTGTTCGCCCAAATTTCAATGAATTAAGAAAAGCAGGGAGGTGGGGAGTAAGGGGAGGGAGAGCATTAGGACAAATACCTAATGCATGCAGGGCTTAAAACCTAAATGACAGGTTGATAGGTGCAGCAAACCACCATGGCACGTGTATACTTATGTAACAAACCTGCACGTTCTACACATGTATCCCAGAACTTAAAGTAAAATAAATTAAAAAAAAGAAAATATATAAAACAAATTTTAAAAAATGGGACAAGATTGTTTCGTCTCATTTTGTAAACAATTTAGAATAATGTATAACCCATTAAACATTTGGTCTTAATGTTTACTCAGCTGATAGTTTACAAATAGGAAATTCTTCAGCCTAGGGAAGAAAACTTTTAAAACTCGTATTCCTGCTTCCCCACCCTGTTTCTCTGTGATTTCCCATTGGGAAGAAGACTAATAAGGAAAAAAATTAGTTTATATTTCCTCCAAAAAAGAAATAATAATGTCTTTTCTTACAATTCATTGGGTTTGAGAAAGCTTTTAAAATAGCCAAGCAAGAAGAAGTACCCCAAAGTGGTGCCTTTGGTGGTGGTTAGCCCTACAGCAACACAACCTCATGCGGGTCCACTGTAGTTAGATTCTTAGCCCCCAAAAAGGCAAATAATTTCCAAACATATACAGTTCAATTCCATAACTCACCCCAACCATTCTGTATGTGAAATACTTCCACTTCTCTTCTAGACACTTCAGGAAATTGGATGTTGCTTAGGTAATGCTGGTGTATAACTCTGCTTGGTGTTAAAGACCAAAGAATAGAGAAGTTAGAGTCTAGATTAAGCATGTGAATTTACAAAGCTATTACTAAGAACGACACCAGGTCACTCTTTTCAAATGTAGAGCTGCACTGACAAACTCGAAATCAAGCAAGAGGCACAGAAGACAAATGGAATAGCTCGAGAGGGAAGAAGACCTTGAATGCATGATACGAATAAGGAAGAAGATTCAAGGAGGATAAGGAAGGTTTACGAGAACTTTACAGGAATAGCGCATATCTAGATAAACTTGGGGAGATTAGGCATTAGTAAAAAAACTCAGACATATCTCTAAAAACAGCTCAGTTTTCTTATTTTCAAAGAGACAAAACAATGCTATAATAGATATCTTTAAGGCTGTCCACAAAACCCTCAGGCCCTTTCTCTGAAAAGGCTATCTACCACATGACCTTGCCAGAGCCAGGGACCCTGAGACAGATACTGCCACCCACAGGCCAAGCACACTCACTCTCTTATCAGCCTCTGCTGGGAACCTGAACTGGCCCAGACCCTCATGCGGTCCTCAGGTTCAGGAGACGCCAAAAGAGCCTTCACCATACCAAAATGGCAGCATGTAGAAGCAGCTGGGTGCCTAATTTAATGAGCAAGGTGACATCATAACTTAATCACTTGTACTGAAAGACAAGCTATAAAAGATATTTTCAAAAAAAAAAAAAAGAAAGAAAACCTTCAAATATAGTCCCTCTTATTTGCTTATGCTTTATTTTCTTAGCAAAGTTTAAACATAAAAAACTGGTTTTAAATATATATAGTCTGTCTCTGAGTATCTCACCCCATAGACTCTAAAAAGAGTCTTTGAAAGAAAGACATTTTTTTAAAGCACACAGGATGTAAGCCACTGTGGAATGGCCAAGAGCAACAAAACATTGTCACAGCTGAAATGCAGTCCCTCATGTCCCAGTGAGAGCTCAGGGATGGAGGAAGGCTAACAGCTGTCGGGAGGTGGTGGGAACCAGGCTTAGACCCAGCGGTCCCACGGCCTCCTTCTTTCCCTCAGGCAGTGAGCAGAGCTATGCCTAACTGGGAATGACTGAGACAACGAATACCTGGGACTAGTCAAATGATACCAGGAAGAGATAATCATCTGGAAATGTTTTATAAATATAAACATAAAGGAGATTAGCTGCAGCCTCCACCACACAAATTTGAGGTCAAGGGGTAGGGGAAAAACACCTTAGACTGCAATGCTAGGAACAATTTATTTTCCAAACATGGAGATCCATTAAACGGCTAGCAACCTCCCCAGGGAAATAGTAGCAAAGTCACTTCAAGTGGAGTGAGAAACTCATTTCTGAAATCCTTTTTCCAACTTGGGAAATTTAACTCTATGCCTTTGTAACCCCAAGGGACTGCTTGGCTGAGGCTGCACTGGGTGTAACCATATGTCAAAATTCATACATTGGGTATGGTACTCACCCACAATTTGCTAGAAAACAGTCAAAACTAAAAGTGCCAAAGGAGGCTTTTCTTTATGAATATAAGCATAGCTACTAATTTATAATAGTAAACATATCCACTTTGACCTCTGCCTAATAAGAAACTTATTTAGAGAAGAAATGTTTTAAAAACCATAGAAATAGCCATCTCCCTCTCCCCTTGACCCATGGTTAAAGAATGTTGGCTATCTTTCTATCTTCATAGCAGCATTTTCACCAGGAATGAATCCCTCCTCTCCACCTTCCAAGCCACTGAATATAGGGTAGCCTCCTCCCTCACCTGGCTGAATAGTCCTGGGCCATCCTGGCCCATCCTCCAGGACTCTGCTTAGCCTGAGATCCAGGGTCCTCTAGGAAACCCTCCTCTTCAGGGTCCAATGTGCCATGGAAAGCCTTGCTTCCCTCCAGCTTAACACTCACCATCTGGGATTAGAAGAGCTGGTCTCCCCCTACAGAATGATCTCCTTGAGGGAGAATTCTGTCTTCTTTACCTGTGAGACCCATGCATAATGCACTAGTGTTTCTTGAATGGATGTTGCTTGGCTTACCGGGAGTTGAGTCAAAATAGACGGGAAAGAACTGATGTCACTGATAAAGGTGACATCAGTTTTGTTCATGGGACTCTACTACACTGGTTAATGTGGTCAAGGTGATAGCCAAAAAACACAACAAGGGATATACCCTTGTATCATGAGCCTTACCTGTCCAGGTCAGATGCCCTGGAGAAATGGTCTACAAAGGATTTTTTAATACGTGTATGTTCTAACACAATTTAAAGTAAAAATCTAGGCTGGGCACAGTGGCTCATGCCTGTAATCCCAGCACTTTGGGATGCCAAGGCGAGAGGACTGCTTGAGGCCAGGAGTTCAAGACCAGCCTAGGTAACATAGGGAGACTCTGTCTCTACAGGAAAAAAACTTTTTTTTTTTTTTAAATTAGCTGGGCACAGTGATGTGCACCTGTAGTCCCAGCTACTTGGGAGGCTGACATGGGAGGATTGCTTGAGCTCAGCAGTTCGAAGTAAGTTTGATTGCACCATTGAACTCCAGGTTAGGCAACAGAGTGAGACCCCCCTCTCTAAATACACACATACACACACACACACACACACACACACACACACACACACACACACACACAGAGAAGGAGGAAAAAAAATCTAAAATTGTTCATCCTAGCTTTAAATAGTGGCATGATATATAATTTCTGACATACTGTAAATATTGAAATTTTAAAATGAAACTGCTTTTAAATGTATCCATTGTTATTTACATACCTAGTGATCCACATAAAATATACATAAACAACTTTTCCTTTCACACTCATATTTTTATAGTTTCTTTTTTTTCTTTAAACTTATATTTCTATTCCACTTCTGCCACAGAATTTTATTCCAATAAAGCATCTTCATGTTTTAGGGTTTATTGATCACACTATCATACTCTTTCTGCAACAAAAACAGTTATGAAAATTAAAAACGTATTTATTTCCTGTGACCAAATAGTTCTAGATGTTAAAAATTTAATCTGGATTATCATTAAAACTATTAGTAGAATGCAATCTGACAGAACAAAAGTATAATTTCATAATAATTAAAAATTAAAGCATCAAATTTTTATTGGAAATGCATTCCTCAATGAGATGGACAGAATAATTTGATATCTGTATCTATAAATGAATATTTTTATTGTCAGAATAAGAAATATTTCAACAGTAATTCCATTCCATTTTTTAGTATTAAAGCAAAAGCCTTGTTTATGTAAATTGGTTGATGGGAATTAAAGAAGCGTTGTGATAGCCGTGGCCCTTAATTCTTTAAATTCCTGAGATTTATGCCCAAAAAAATCATAAATACAAACTTCCATGATAATCATCATTTTTTGACAAATTGTTCAGGATCATATTCAATTTTGTTTAAAACAATTAGAAGACATTTGATTTGCAAAAGGACTAATTTCTAAGACATTAGATTCATGCCCTCTCTCTATGCCACAACAATCTTCTCATTACCCCTTTTTCTGGCACCCCGAGAAGTAGGGGTTTCTTCCTGTGACTACATGACATGATGAGATTTGGGAGAGGTAAAGCCAGGCAACCCATTAGTCCAGCTGTGCCCCAGGTGGATCTGTTTTAGGAAAGAGTATATAGGGAAGCTGAATATCTGAAATAATTTCCTTGTTACTCTCCATGGGCCCAGTGCCTCTTGGAAAGTCATCATGTACCCCAGGGGTAACATAAACCCATATCTGTTGACTTCAAAGACCAGTCTGCCAGAGGTCTGTCCTTAGGTGGGGTAAACAGATTCAAATACCAATGGAAGGAGAGAATGTAAGTGAGAGAAGCCAATGCTTTAGTAGGGCAGGAGACGAAACAAGCCTAGTAAAACCACAGGTAGGACCTGTGGGGACCGCAGAGTACAACGGACATACCAGGCTGTTTCTCCAGTGACCGGATGTGAGCAGGGGCTCCCACTCAGTGTACGGCAAAGCAAGAATTCTCTGTCTAAAAAGTGGTATTGTTTTAAAAAGACAAAGAGCAGTAAGAGCAGGAAAAGCTATAAAAGTTTTGAGCATTATATTCAGATATGGATTTAAGAAAATGCAAGGAATTCACTTTCAGTGGAGAAACAGGGTTTGCCAGCAGACGGATATGCCAAGTATGAGCACAGGACCAAAGTGAGATGCAGAAGAAAGGAAGACCATGACTCTAATCACTGTGCTGTAGGATTAGTACAGGCCTGTCCAGACACTGGCACATCAAGAAAGGGATTCTCAATGTTATCTTCATAAATGAGAGGTCTGTCCTTCTCAGTTCCTGGATTTTTAAAGTCAGAGAGCACCATTCTTGTGTTCTCTAAGGAGAAAACACCAAAACTTAGTGGACAGTTTCAATGACACAGGCAAGGCACAGAGATTGGTGGCTAGGGAGGTCTCCCCGGCCACCAGGAACATACCCATTCACAACTAGCAATGGGCCTGATTTGCACATCCTCAGGTGACTCACGTCTCCCCCTTGTATATTAAGTAGTTAAAAAAGACTGGAGACTAAAGAGCAGCTTGGGTGAGTCATATGTGTCGCCAGAGAGAGGTGGTCTAGCAGAAAGACTAAGAAGAGGGACCTGGCGTCAGATGCCTGTGTGTGAATGCTGGCTCCTCCACTTACCAGCTGGGTGAACTTAAACAAAGCTCTGCGTCTCAACTTTCCTATCTGTAAAACAGGAATACAAAAGTACTTTCCTCATGGAATTATCATTAGAATTAAATGAGTCGAGATATATATATAAGATTTTTATGAGAGTATCAGGCACACGGAAATAAATTTTGGCTATTGTAATTGTCATCACTGAGAGAGAACTAGACCATCATGAAAAAAATAAGAGGCCATCTGGTCCAGGCCTCGTTTCTAAGTCTTCAGATCTAAAACTGAGATCACCAAATTAGATTAAAACCTCAGTTCTAATTCTCCACTTGTCCTACCAGCCACTGTGGAAAGAGATAAATACTGACAACTCATCTACTAATAAAAGCATCACAACATACCCTGCAAAAGGGCACGATTATGAAACATTTGCAATGAGTAATGCAAAACCAAAACATGTATTAAAAAGTTCTAGTAAAGACATTGGTTCAATTGAAGAAGAAATGCAAAGGAAATGGAGGGGAGTAAACAAGCCCAAACTTCGTAGTGTAAAATATTATTTGAGTAGTGTATTTCCTAGCGCTTGTGTAATGTATTCATGTCTAGCTTGATCCTCAATATAAGTCAAGGCAGAAGGTTGAAGTAATTACAGAGCGCACGGCCAGGGTATCCATACACTGGTATTTTAACCTCTAAATTACATTTTAGCCACTCTCAGTGCTTCTCCTACTCATATTCTGTGGTCCCATCAGTCTCAGCCTGTCCTCCTCAGATCACCACTGGCAAAGGTACAGGGCTGTTTGAGGTAGGAGAGCTGGGTATTTTCCAGGTGGGCTGTGGGCCCTAGAGCAGGGATCCTGACCTTTATATGGTACAAGGAGAAACATCACCCATATAAACAAGATTAGAATTTAAGTCAACAACAACAAAAAGTAATGACCAAAAGAAAGAAGAAATAAGAAGCAGATTGTTCTGTTACATGCTGGTTTAGAGAAGTAAAAAAAAAAGGTAAGAGCAGCGGTAGGAGTGGTGGAATGTGTCAAGAGATCCAGATGGAAAATAAGTATATCAGGGACAAACATTTTTGGATGAATCCCACTGACACTGTTCTCAGTTACTAGATTTTTTTTTTTATATATATTGGGCTCCTTGATGTGAAATTTAAGACTGCAGTATTGCAAATCAACTTTCCCTAACCTACAGGTTTCACTAAAACAAAACCAAATAGGAGCGAATTCAACCCATTTTCTGGTAGTTTTTATTTCTCTATAGATAGGTCTTTATGGAGTGAATACTCAAAGACATGCTAGTCGGGTTTTTTTTTTTTCCTTCTAAAAGGAAACTTCTCATTACTTTTTCAGCAAAGAACATTCTGAATTATGATTCAATCCAGAATTTTCAAAGGGTATCTCTTGGAACTCTGTTTCTTTAAGACATCAAAAGAGGGAAACTGAGTCAAAGTTCAATCCACTCTGACAGACATAAGGCAAACAAATATAAAATTAAACAAGATTAAGACCTTTAATGTGTTCATCTGCAGTGTGAGGCTCCCAGCAAGGTCCACTAATTTGATAAAATAAGTCAAATAAATCTTTTCTCAGACAGTCTCTGCAGATTCCTATTCACATAAACATGCTTTGAAAAATCCTGGAACATATACAAAGGGTGTAAAATGTGGGCTAACAATGGGTTTAATTCTGGAACAAAACTTCCAAACTATGCTCTATTCTTTATAAATGATATGTGGCACCCTCATATACCACTAGCAGGGGCAGAAGTTGGTACCACCACTTTGGAAAACTGTTTGACATTATGTTCTGAGGTTAAACTTACATTTACCATGTGACTGATTCCTAAATATGTACACACCACAAAAGTGTGTTGTGTTGTGTATGTGCATGCATACACTAGCACGTGCGTATAACAGACACAGAAAAACATGCACGAGAATACTCATGCAGCATGATTCATAATAGCTCCAAAATGAAAACAACACAAAAAGTTCATCAACAGTAGAATGATAAATAAATGATAGTATCTTCACACAACGGGCATGGCAGTCTGAAAAATGGCCCCTCAAAATACTTACATCCTAATCTCCTGAACTGGTGAAAGTTATCCTACATGCCAAGAGACTTTACAGATGTGATTACATCAAGGGTCGTGCAATGGGGAGACTGTCCAAGATCATCCAGGCAGGCCTCGAATAGAATCGGAAGTGTCTTTTTTTTTTTTTTTTTTTTTTTTGTGAGACAGAGTCTTACTCTGTGACCCAGGCTGAAGTACAGTGGTATGTTCTCAGCACACTGCAACCTCCACCTCCCAGATTTAAGTAATTCTCCTGCCTCAGCCTCCTGAGTAGTTGGGATTACAGGCGCCCATAAGGAGGAAGCAGAAAGGTCTGATGACAGAAGAGAAGAAGGTGATATGAAAAGGCAGTAGATACTGGAATGATATGCTTTGAGGATGGAAGAAGGGGCCACATGCCAAAGATTTTCAGCAGCCATCAGAAGCTGATAAAGTCAAGGAAACGGATTCTTCCCCCAGAGCCTGCAAAAGGACTGAGCTCTGCCAATACCTTGATTTTTGCCCAGTGAAATGATTTTGGACTTCTGACCCCTAGAGCCATAAAAGAAGTAACCTGTTTGCCTTAAGCCACAAACTTTGTGATCATTTGTCACAACCACAATAGGTAAATAATAATAGAATGGCATAACCACGCAGACATGAGAAAGAATAAACTATTGCTACACACAACAAGGATGATCCTCACAGACACAGCATTTCGTAGATGAAGCAAGACACAGTGGAACATCCTGTATGATGACATTTACATAAAGTTCAAAGACCAGCCAAACTAATCCACAGTGTTAGAGGTCAGGACAGTGCTTATCTCAGGGAAGAGGCATTGACTTGAAGGAGGTGAGGGTGCTTCTGGAATAGCAGCTGCTTTCTTAATATGGGTACTGGTTACACAGGCATATTCACTTTGAGAAAATTCATCAAATTGTAAACACATAATGTGCATACTGTTCTCTCTACATGTTATACATAAATAACACATTTTTTAAAGCTATATGTTGTGTTGTTTTGTTTCAATTATTAGATTCAAATGACTCATAGAATAAATCCCTTTTGGGGAAGCACCGCCTGGGAGCAATGCCAGAGCTTGGCCGTTCTCACACAGTAAGGGAAACATAAGCCCACTGACAACCCAGACAGTGAGTCCACAAGAAAAAAATTACATTCCTGGCAAACAAACCAGCCAATGCTTTACACAGAAGGAAGATACCTATTTGTGAGTAAAAAAGACTCCACAACCTAGATTTTTTCCCTAAAAATTCAGCCTATTATTTCATATAACAAAAGTAGAATAAGAATTTAGTAGGCAAGTCCAGAGAACTCACTGGGCTAAAGAAGCTGTAAAGTGTGTCTGTAGACCCACATCTAAGGAAGAAAGATGAAGGGGAAGAAAAATGATCAGTGAGAAAAACCCCAGCCACCTAACAAGGTCAAGATGCTACTAAAGTGCCCTTCTCTTTTGTCCACTTATCAAGTAATAGAAGAATAAAAGTCTTAATAGTCTGACCTTGACATGGTAAAATACACATTGTAAAACAGACACTGCCTATTGCAGATAGAATTTAAAACAAACACACAATATTTCTCCATCTGGAAAATCAAATATTGCTTGCTTCCTCTGGCAAATCAGATCAGGATGAATCTCAATGCAGTCACATCATTTCTGTAACTAAAAATGACTAAATCCAGGAGAGAAATGGAAGCAGCTAAGCTTGCAGCACTGTCAGTAGGATCAAAGCAGAAATGGATCACACCAGCTCCACAGATGGCCAGGCCTGACTTCAGGAAAGTAAGGAGAGAGGTAGTGGAGACCAGCACTTTTCTTCCCTTTCACTGTGAGAGTCAAGGGTATCAAGCTATATGAAGGGCCACTAGAAAACAATGGCTGGAAAAGGAGACAGCCAGTCCTAACATTCAAATGGCTTACAGCCCACTTGTCTGTATGGCACCAAATTTGAGTGAATACTTCATTTCCAAAGCTGAAAGGCTCCTTAATACCCACAGGTGCCACAGGAGGCTCACAGACGTTAGGAATCGCAAAACTAGTGAGTTATAAAGTGAGGATTCAAACAGTCTGGGGGATATTTTCTTCACAATATTTGACCAAAATGAGTATTATATATAACCCAATTGAATTTATATAATTGATATAAGTTTTACAATAATTATAAAAAGAAACAGAGACAAACAGCCAGAATGCCAATTTGGCCTTAAACATTCATTTATGGGGGCTGTACATAGTGGCTCATGCTTATAACCCCAGCACTTTGGGAGGCTGAGATGGGAGGATTGTTTGAGGCCAAGAGTTCAAGACCAGCCTAGACAACATAGCAATACCCCATCTCTACAAAAAAATGAAAAAAAAAAAAAAAATAGCCAGGCACAGTGGCACACGCCTGTAGTCCCAGCTAGTTGGGAGGCTGAGGCAGGAGGACTGCCTGAGCCCTGAAGTTTGAGGTTACAGTAAACTATAACTGCACCTCTGAACTCCAGCCTGGGCAAGATCCTGTCTCAAAAAAAAATTCATTTTGATGCTTCAATATTCCTGAACATAACAAAGTCCCTGTTACCTATACAGTAGAACTGTAAATTTTAGGCTTCAGATTTTTTTTTTTAATTTCAAACAAAGCAAAATATCAACAATAGCAAAATCTGGGTGGTATCTGCAATATTCTTGGTGCTTTCCTGGAAATGTGCAATATTTCATAAATTTAACTGAAGAAGAAAAATTAATGTCACTGAATATTTGTGTAATACAGCCACCTGCAAAAAAAAAAAGTTTTCAGGTGCCTTTGGAATAAAGAAGTGACAGACATGGAAGAAAGAGAACCCCAAGTTTGAAAACTAGTCATGGTCCTAGTAAGGAAAGTTATATGCATTATGCTTGCACAAGACCTAATTATCTGTCAATATAAATTCTTATTACTAACCCATTTTTGATCCCATTTGCTCATTATTAAGGAATTTTAGCATTTAATGCTTTTTCCCCCTGATCATTTATATTATTAGAAACACTGCTACCACCCCAAGAAATAAATTCACTTACGGTCAAAGGTAATGCATGGAAAACTGAAACTCCACTTTCTGGATAGTACTTTTGTTATTTTAAATGATTAAGGGCTACTAAATGGGTTTGCAACAGCCTGCCCATCTAAAACCTTAACAGCCAAACATGCAGCTCACCTTCACCAGGGGAAAATGAATGTCTGATGCTCGTAATAACAGAAAACGGAAGGCTAAGTTTAGACAAAACAGAAACAGCAAACTCAATTCAGATAAGGAGGTCAGATGAACAGTCCATACTTGCTACTGCATGCCAGGTACTACTTTCCTTCTTATAGAAAACGTAACTGAAGCTCAGAGTGGCTCACCCAGAGTCTGTTAGGTATGATGGGCTTCACTACCAGATTCTCTGTGTAATTATGGAACGCTACTTTAACAACAAAATTCAACATGACCTAGACCTTAGGAGAGGTTTATGCACACTGTCATGTAATGCTTATACTTCCAGTGATAGAAATATTAACACCAATATCATGTGACCAGTCAAGAAACTAAAGTTCAGACAGAGTTAAATTTGTCCCAAGGTAGTCAGATTTCGACGGTTAGGCCAAGGCACAAACTTCATCTTCCAACTCCAAGTCCTGCACTCTTTCCACAAATAAAAGAAGTGAGACACAGAGGCTACAAAGTGTAGTGAAACTAGGACTAGCTTTGCAGAGCTGGGTTTGAATCTCAGTTGGTGTTACACACTCAGAAAAGTGGTTCAATTCTTTTGAATTTCAGTCTTCTCTACGATGGATCTACCAGCACCATCCTCATCCTTGCAGGGACCAGAGTTGATATGTAAAGGGTCCGGTACAAATAGGCACTCAAATGGTGGCTGTTACTGTTATCAATGATAATATAGGCTCTGTCTCTTAGTAAGTCTTTCTTCTTCTGAAGTCTTATCTGAATAAAGCACTCCTGAGCGTATGCTACCAAAAGAAATTAACCTGGGTTCCAGGGTGTATGTATAAGCCACAGTTTATTACCACAACACATACCCCCCTGCCCTTGGTTTCCACCAGTCAATGAGCTAACATTTTCCCACGGTTATTAGCTGAATTATATTCTGCTCCCCCACCACCATATCCCAAAATCATGTTGATGTCCTTACCCCCAGAACTTCAGAATTCATTGTATATGGCAATAGGGCATTTAGAGAGGTATTTAGGTTAAGTACCTAATCCAATATGACAGGTGTTTTTATAAGAAGAGGAAAATAGGGCAGCCAGGCATGGAAGATAGAGAGATATGTTAAGATAAAGAGAAAAGAGCCAACCACAAGCTGAGAAGCAAGGACTCATAATTAAACCAACCCTGCTGGCACCTTAATCTTGAGCTTCCAGCCTCCAGAACTGGGAGAAAATTCATTTCTGTTTTTAAGGCCCCCTATTGGTGGTACTTTGTTATGGCAGACTTAGCAAACTGTTATACCTACCAAATGATCTCATACCTGAATGGCAACCCAACCCAGTTATGAGGAACACACAGCTGTGGCTCTATTATCACAGGACCGGTGCCAGAAACCTGGCTGAAAACAATGGCTAGAAACAAATGTGTGGTGAGCCAGAAACCTGTTTGTGACATATTTCTAGTCCACAAAAGGGCAACGTCTTCCAGCATTTTCAACACCACTGGCTAGTTGACAGGACTCCCCAAGGAGGGACTGGAATTCAGGAGCCTCTTACTGGAATCTTATTAAGATGACGGGCTCTCTTGACGGGGAGGGCCTCTCTGCAGGAAAGCAAGTTAAGGGACAGAAGACAGAGCCCTACTCTCTAAAATACTGCCACCTCTTCTCATGAATTTCATTATAAATTTTAAGTTGCCCTCCCATTTCATGTGGCATTATGAATAATGGTGGGTTTGGGGCCTGAATCTGTCTTCCAACACATTTTATGACATTTACTGAATCCTCTCTGCCCCTGGTGTGAATTACAGCCATCATTAAATGCATGGATTTGCTCATCTAAGGTCTCTGCATTTCTCTAACATCCTTTGTCCTGTTGATGATAAAGATTTTGAGGACAGTACAGCAATACTTCTCAAATATGCCCCTGGATCAATTTAGCTAGCATCATCTGGGGGGCTAGATTTTGTAACTTAAGGTAGAGCCTAGGAATCTTCACAGTAATAAAACTCCACAAGTAATTCTTATTCTG